GGCAATGTACCTTTTCCCTAGAGTGCTGCCTCTTAAGAGCACACAGTGACTTGATGGAGCTGTCTCTGTCAACGTGATGGGAACTATTCCAGAAAGGGTTCTGGGGGTTTTTATTTCCCAGTCTTGGCGGCACAGGGAGAGGAGACAAGGTGGCAGGTCACAGGAAGTGAGGCAGGGACAGTTTGAGAAAAACTGTTGGTCAGAAAGACATTGTCTTGGCAAGGATCTGTCGACTCTGTGCACACTGACATAGACCATCCATCTTTCTGCTTTCTCACTCAGTTGTCCCCAGAGGGGGTCTGGGCCAGAGAAACCAACCCAACCACAGCCTGTCCAGTTACTCAAAGTATCAGAGCACTTGGATGTTTAGTCTGACCCAACATTTCCCCAAGACTGGTATGCAAGCCCCCGGGGGACTTCTGTGTCTGTTTTCTTCTCACTTTTTGGGAGGAATTGACCTTTTTTTCTTTTCATAAACTTTGTATTTTGTAGTTGTTTTAGATTTGTGGAAAGATCACAAAGTTAGGACAGAAGTCCTATATCCCTTTACCTGGTGACCTCATGGGGCACTCACCATGATGGAGAAACACACCAGGAGTGTTCCCGTTAACTGAAGCCCAGGCTTCTTGAGTCTTTCACCTGCCTTGCCTGGATATCCCCATCTTTTTTCTCCGAGCTGGGCGGTACCCTTAAACATACCCTTGTAAAACTAGTGCAGTACTCATGGAGTTACTTTAATGGATATTACAGAAATATATTATCATCACACCAGTGTTACAGCCTGGGGAAAATAAAATGATAAAAGCAGGTCAATTTGAAGAAACATGTCATACATCTGAGTAAAGATGGCATGCAGCCTCGGTATGAGGAATAGGAGAGCCCTTCCTTCACAGACCCACAGGGAGCTTAGGGCCTGCTTAACGCCACCTGGCAAGTCAGTAGACTGAGCAGGATGGGGACTTGCAGCCTAGCACCCCTTCTGTGCAACATGAGTGCTCTTTCCTGTTTGGGAGCTATGGAAGGAAGGAAAGAGGTGGAAAGGAGAGAAACTCTCAGTAGGAATAAAGTTTCCATTTCAATTATTCTGCTGATCCCTGACCCCCATTAACATGGATAATCAAAGCTGGCTGGATGTATCATGCTTTAAATAAAAACATCATTTAAGTGGCCCTGAGGACGTGCGGACAGATAATTGCATGGGGTGCTCATCCAAATACACTTGGGGGAGAGGCACTTTCTGTGTGCCAGAAACAAAAACAACAGCCATCAGCGTACTGTCACACATCTGTGGAGTGTGAGGGGACTCAATAGGTAGAGCCTCATCTTTCATCACACACAACCCTGGGGCCAGTTTAGAGTGATGCCAGAGTGTATGTGTTCCCAAGAAGGATGTCATTGAGCCCCACAGAGGGCTGTCCTATTGTCTCTCCCATGCAAAGCTGGTGGAACCCCGTGGCTGAAAGCCTTTGAGGCCTTCCTTACTAGGCAGGGCCCACGTGGGGTGTAAGTTCCTGTCTGTCTGAGCCAGGTTGGTGAAGGGAGGGCTTCAGCAGAGGTTGGCTGAGGGCCAACTTTGTGTCTGGGAGGGCACTGGGGACCCGCTGGCTGAAGGTGGAGCAGTGTGTGTGAGGGCATAGTGTAGGCAAAGATGGACACCCATCTGATGACATATGGGGTAGATGAGCCAGAGAAGGGGTGAATGCACAGACCTGGAGATGCAAGCTGGGTGCCCACCTTGGGACAGTCTCCAGAAGAGAGAAATGACCACCTGTTGTGACTAGACTTGGGAGTCTTGGATTCTTCTCAAATTGTGTTCCATGGTATATTACAAGAGTGTTAAAAAGAATCTTCACTCATCCCACTCATTGATTTAGCTTATGCTTTTGGGACTATGAATTTAGTCTCCACCAAGGTAGAGAGAGAAAGATTGGCAGAAGAATATGGTGACCAGGCATGAGCTCCTGGAAGGAGTGACTTATGGCTACTATTGATTTGACTCACCAAGGTGCCTAGAAGTGTTGCTTAGTCCTCTGTTCTGAGACGCTGTGCTAGGTCCCTATGACTAGCTGTCCTACTCAGATCCATCACATATAGCCTAGGGGAGGCAAGTGGCTGTCCTCCAAATGGCTCTGCTTGTTTTCTGCCACATCTGCACATGTAGGACTGGGGAAGGTCCTGGAGGCTGAACTTCAAATTTACCCAAAGGCAGGAGAGTGTTAGGCTGCCTCTGACCACAGCTTCCTACAGGAATGTGGGCCCTATTGGGGGGTCAGTGTGGTGTTGCTCTTCAGTTCATTCTTCTTCTTACCCGTGAACCTCAAACCCAGAGCATCTGGTGTACCCCATGATTTGTGGCTCCTTCTTTTAGCTGCACAAGTTACTTTGTCTTAAAAGACAGCCCATGTAGTCTGCAATTTGCCACAAAGTCTTGCTCTTGGCCAGGGAATGATTTGTCTTTTTGTGTTTCCTTGGGGGAAAAATGCCCAAGAAAACAAATTATTTCTTTGAAAATTATCTTTGTTTTTCTTTGGTAACCATTGTCACATGCTCAGCTCATCAGTCATCTATTGCATGCTGTGGAGAGCACAGCTTAGAGAAATTAGACATGGAGTGATTTATTTACTTAATATTGAGTTGTAACTCAGTTACCATAACACTCACCACTTTTAAGTGTTCATTTCATCAGGTTTAATATATCCATGAAGTTTTGCAACCATCACTATGATCTCAACATCCCCAAAAGAAACCTGGTGCCCATTAGTGGTCCACTTATCTCCTTCCACAGCCCCTGGCACCTGCTAGTGTACCTCTGCCCCTGTTGTGGACATTTGATGGAAATAGAATCCTATAGTATGTGACTTTTGTGTCTAGCTTCTGTCACTCACTGTCATATTTTTGAGGTTCACCTAAGTTGTATCATGAATCAGAACTTCATCCCCTTTTATTGCCTATTGGGATCCTGTTGTATAGAAAGGCAATATTTTGTTTATCTGCACATCAGTGGATGGGTCTTTTGTTTGTTTGTTTTTAGTGGCACTGGAGTTTGAACTCAGGGCTTCCCACTTGCAAAGCAGGCACTCTACTGCTTGAGCCATATCTCCAGTCCCTGTTGCTATGGTTATTTTGGGGATGGGGTCTTTTGAACTATTTGCCTGGGCTGGCTTTGAATTGCCATCTTTCTGATCTTGGCCTCCCAAGTAGCTAGAATTACAGGCATGAGCCACTGGTGCCTGGCAATGTTTTTGTTTTTAATCAAATCACCTCCAAAGACATTTGTTTGTTTTTTATCAAGTGGCATTGTGTGGGAAGCCTTTTCATTAATTCATTTTAATAAAGTGCATTCTGACAGTAACTGAGGAGGAAAGAGGCAGCTGGAAGTTTTTTAAAGGATCGAGAGACAGATTCTCTCCTGAGGTATGCTGGGTAAAGTCTCCAGGAACTGGCCCAGGCCCTTTGAGAGGAGCAGGCATGATGGTGGCTTTGGAGACCAGAGCTCTAGTCTCTCCTTTTCTCTGTTCTTGAGCTTTTGGTTCTCTTCCCCACTGCAGGAGAAAGTCCTATGACTTCAGCGTGAGATTCTGGGTACTCTGTTGGCCTCTGCCAGCCCATTCTTCCAGAACCTCCAGGGACAGCAGGGAGTTTATGAACCTTCTTGTGCACTTTTGGGCCTCCCCAGAATACCTCTTGTCACTGCTTCTACCCATCCTTAACCCTTATGCATGCTACAATGCCCGGCTATGCTACCATCTCCTCCAGGAAGGCTTTCCAAGGCACAGTGACCAAGACGTGTCCACTTACATGGACCAGCAGTGTTGCAGCTGCTCTGGTCATCTCTGTTCTATTCTGAACTGTGTACACCCTGCACCCTCTCACACCTATGGTGGCTTGAATGGCCTTTGTGAGCCAGGCTTTGAGGCTGGGGTGTTTGAGGAGTGGAAAACATGCAAAACTGCATAATCTGGTTTTTCCAAAGCCCGGCACATCCTGCCAGATGAAACCCTAAACCCAATCTTGCTAACATAAGGTAGACATTCATGACCAGCTGGAAATCACTGATGCTAAAATGCAGCAAAGAAGCACCCCTCTCTCCAGTGCAGAAATGACCAGGTGATGGAAAGTCAGTCTGCAGGCTTGCACATACTGTCACTTCCTGCACAGCTATCCTACCTCGGGCGGCCCTGTCTTACAGTGCATTTCTTTCTACTACCTCCTGTTCTGAGCCCCATTGTGCCTCTCAGTCTCCACCATTTAGAGTAACTGCTTTTTGAAGAAAGGTAAAAAGTTAATTACCTCGTCCTTTAGGGTCAGAGACTGGAGCAGAAGAAGATGCTCCCCTGGGGGGCAAAAGTTAAGAAAGATCAAAAAAACTCACCATCAAGATGATTCTTTGGTGTAATATTTTAAGATAAAAATTATTGCAAACAAATCATATCGAACAAAATATCAACATTTTAAAGAAAGACAGCCTCACAGAGGCACTAACTGCTTGCTGCCATGGCTATTTGCAATGGGAGTGTCCACTTTGGGTCCTTTGGAATGTCCAAGGTCACAGTGGATGCTCTGCAAACACTCGTACCAACCTCATCTCCAGGAAAATGAGCCCTTTGCTCTAATTCTTACTCACCTGTGCAGAACAGCTTCATATCTTATGCGATAGTTTTGCATTTTTGCACACTTACCTTCTGGGCAGCAGCCTCTGCTATAGGGTTGTTAGATCAACAAGTACAATTACTAAAGATTTGAGCTGTGGTTGTACCTCTTTTTTTTGGCTCTGCATCTAGCTCTTCCTGTTTTCTAAGGGTTGCTACTGTCACATTAAGTAATGCATAGAAAATAATTTACTTCCTTTTTCGGAGCTGGACCAAGTTTCATCTCTGCTTGAGTCTCCTCCAGGTTGCTCAAAATGGTGTTTTTCTTGGTTGAAGGTGGAGTTGACTCCAAGACCAGGCACTGGGAAGCTCTGCTCTTTTTTTTTTTTTTTTCCTAAGGTGTATGGAGCATCTCTCTGTGCTCTGAGGTGCTACCTGTAGATTGGGAGCTGATGGAGAATACCAGGATGCCTCCTCAGCAAAGAGTAGCATGTGTCTACAGGGTGGGGGCAGGGGCTCTGAGGTTCAGCTCTCCTCGATATGGCTGGCCCAGAGGTCCTTTCTGGATCTGCGGGTGTCATCTCAGGACGGGGCCAGGCCATCCAGCTTTGAATCAGAGCATCAGTGGCTGAAAAGGCCCCTCTCTTCATAAAGGTATGTAAACACTCCATGACATACGCATACAGAAGATGCCAGTTTTGTAAATCCACGAACGCTTACCCTGTGTTCTTAATGGTATATTTGTCTTTAAGCATGCACTAAGAAAAAAATGCTATGTAAAACTAGGCCTGACCCAGTTCAGTAATTCTCTTGTGTGCTTACCACCACGATGCATTTGTCAAAATATTTACTGAAATTCATAATGGCTGTCAGAAACCAGGCCCACAATCCATATTCTGTTAAACATAAAACATTAATAAGGGAATAGATCACTTTGTAAACTGTTTTATTCCCAATAATGGACCTAATTAACCAAAGGTGCGAATTGGTTAGCTCGAGTTTTAAATATACAGATCCTATTTATAGCACTGCTCATCAGCCACCCAAGGGTAGCACTTTTCAGTGAGATTTACAGGGGTCAAGGAACTGTGTATTTATACACATATTTGGCTTCCCAGTCCCCAAGCTGGCTAAGAGCTGGAGGGACCTTAGATAAGCCTGGGAGGCAGGTTCTGAGAGGTACTGAGCCTCTGTTTTCCCGTAGCAAATCTTTCTGTAAGAGCGAAAGCAGATGTTATCTACTGAAATGCATCAAGGGACAGAATGCAACTTAGAACAATGATGCCATTAGCTGACGGGGGAGAGCAGATTGAATGTCAGGGTCAGTTTAAAATAATGTGCCTTTTAACCATGCTAACTATTGCCCCTGCCAGGAGCAAGTATTTAGGATCAGAGGCTAAGACTAATCAGAGCGAACTTTTAGGTTGTGTGGCAAACTCAGAATCTGTGAGGCAACTCCCAGGAGCCAGAGCATACGGGTTGTTACCTTAGTGGTACTCAGTCTGGAAGCTGAGGAAGGGGACAGTCAGGGAGGAGGAGCTCCACGTGAGCAGGGTTACCCGAAAGGACCTAAGCAAGCTACCGCTGCACAGCTGCCTAGGGAAATGAGCTCACAATGAAGGGCCAGAGGTCACCAGCCAGAAAGACCTTTCTCCTGGCAGAGACCCCAAACACATTCACAGAGAACTGAGACTGGAAAGAGGAGGTGGGAAGGCCTTTGTTTGATGGGGGTTCAGAGCCGTGGGGAGCTCAGCCTATGCTGACAGTCCCATAGTGGGCTTTCTCAACTGATCCTCAGAACAAAGGAAGGAGAGTCCACTTGTGAGTTAAGCACTACCCAGCAAGAGAGGTGCTGTGACTCACTCAAGGTCACAGAGTTTGTAGGTAGCAAAGTTACAAAAAGAAAGTTGTCTCTGAAGCCAGGGTACTCTGTCACTCCTCTTGCTCTTGGGGGCAGCACGCAGAGGGGCTAGGCTGTGCTGGAAGGCTGCACTGAGCAATGTCTGGGGTGCTGGTTTGGAAAACCTTGTCCCAGCAATGGCTAGCCATCAGTGTGAGGTCCTCACAAGTCCCCATCGCTTCAGTTACTGCTTCTTTGTGATCACTTCTGGTTCATAGCCATGCTGAAACTTTCCCATGTATGGTAGCAATGCAAAATTCCTTCCAATTCGAGAGTACGTATGTGAAGGACAAGTGACCTGATACAAAGAAAAGTGTGGGGAGAGAGATGGCCTGGGAAGAGCTAGTGTTTCTGCAAGGACACACAGTGAGGCCCGTGTCTGGAACAAGGTTTTTAACAAATTATACATGCTGCATTGACTCATACGGACCTACATTCTTGTTTTGATTCCATCTATTTTAATAACTTTAAACTCTTTGTGTTTTGAGATAATTGTACGATCAAGTGCGGTTGTAAGAAATACTAGAGAGAGCTCCCATGTACAGTTTACCTAGCTTCTGAATCCCATAATTTGTGTGTTGTGAATCACAGCTGGATGTGGACAGGGATATAGTCAAGGTACAGAATACTTCTGTCGCTGCCTGGACCCTTCATGGCTACATGGACTCCATACTGCTCTCTCCTCCCGGCACCTTCCTCCTAACCAGTGGCAGTCACTAATTGTCTCTCTGCTTGTAGGATTTGTCAGGTTAAGTGTTATATAAAAGGAATCCTTCAGTGTAGCTTTTGGGAATTGGCTTTTTTTTGCTGAGCATAATTCTCTAGAGATTCATCCAATTTATTTCCTGTGTCCATAGCTCATCCTTTCTTTATCGCTGAGTAGATTCTATGATATAGCTATGCCGCGGTTGGCTTCGACATTCATCTGTTGAAGGGCATTTGTGCTGATTTCTGGGTTTGGCTATTATAAAACCTCTATGAACATTTGTGTTCGGGCTCTCAGGAGCAAGTGTTTCTATTTCTCTGGGATAAATGCCCAGAGGTACCGTGGCCGAGGAGAATGAGAACTTCATGTCTAACTTGTTACAGAGAATGTCACACTCCTTTTTGGAAAGGCTTTACCATGTCACTGTCACATCAGCAAAGTGCCCACATATCCAGCCTTTCCACATCCTTGCCAGGGTGGTACGTTTCACTCCTTGTTATTTTTGCCTTTCTGATGGGAATGTATATTTCCTTGGTAGGTAAAGATGTTAAATGACTTTTTCGGTGCTATTTGCCATCAGTATATCTTTTTTTTTTTTGTGATATATCTCATGTCTTGCTCACTTCCTAACTGAATTGTTGTTGAATTAAAAAAAAACTGTTACACTGTCATATCCTTATAAATTCTAGGTATGACTCCTTTAGCTGACATGTTGCTTGCAAAAATTTCCTCCAGGTCAGTGGCTAGTGTGTTTTGTTCCTTTATTTATGAGTAGGAGGTTTTATAGAGCAAAAAATTTTAATTTTGATGAAATCCAGGGTATCAGTTTTATGGCTCATACTTTTCATTTTATTTAAAATTTTTAAATTATCATATTAATGTTGTCTTGGGGGGTACATGGTGACATTTGAGAGCGTTCTCACAATGTGTCATAGTTGAATTCACCCCAAGACTCATGCTGTTCATGTCAACTCTTTTCTCGTGCCCTAGATTTGGGGGATTTTCTTCTATGGTTTTTCCCCTAAAGCTCTATAGTTTCACGTTTAAGCCTGTTTTACATTTTGAGTTTCTTGTTGTATAAGTAAGGTATGAGTTTTAAGTTGAGGCTTTCCTGTGGATTGTCTCAGTACCATTTGTTGAAAGGCTGTACTTTCTGTACTAAATAGCGTCAAACCTTTGCCAAAAACCAACTGGGCATATTTGTGGAAGTCTGTCTGTCTTATTATTATTGCTCTGTTCTACTGATCTGTGTATCGATTCCTCTGTCAAGAGTCTTGATTGCTATAGGTTTATAATGAGTTTTCACACCAGGTAGAATGATTCTTCTCTTTCATTCTTCTTCTTTAAAACTGTTGAGTTATTCTAGTTCCTTTTCTTTTCTACATAAATTTTAGATATTTAGAAAATCTCACTTGGATGTTGATTGGAATTACACTACGTCTGTATTTGAATTTGTGGATAATTGGCATTTTTACTAGGTTGAGTCTTTCAATCCATGAACACAAGATGTCTTTTTATTATTTAGATCTCCTTTGAAATCTTTTATCAGTTTTGATAAGTTGCAACATGTAAGTCCTATATGTGTTGTTGGATTTACACCTAAGTATTTTATTTTTTTGAGCAAGTATAAATGGCATTGAATTTTTAATTTTGGTTTTCAATTATTCATAGCTAGCTATTGAAATTTGATTGATTTTTGCAATTTAGACAATTATGCCATCTGAAAATAGGGACAGTTTTATATCTCATTTTTTGCCAGTTGTATGTCTTTTCTTTCTGTGCATTTTGCATTTCTTTCCTGGTTTATTGTACAGTTAGAACTATAGAATCTATTTGATAAGAGTGATGAGATGAGTGTCTTTGTCCTGTTCTCTATAAAAAAGGAGGCATTCAGTTTTTCACCATCTGGTTGGTATAAGGCTAGCTTTGCTATTTTGTGGATACGCAGTAAGACGCTTTTTCTCTGTTTCTGTTTTACTGAGAGATTTTTTAATGAATGAGTGTTGGATTTTGTCAAAAGGTTTTTCTACATCTGGTAATATGGTCAATTACACTGAATGCAGCTCTGAGCCCCTTGGTCATGGTGTGTAATTCTTTTCATGTCATAGAATTCCATTGCTAATACTCTGCAAAAGGCTTTAGGTCTATGTTCATGAAGGAAATCAGTCTGTACTTGTCTTTTTTTATACTGTATGGTGTCAGGGTAATACCTAGGTTTATAAAATTAGATGGAAATTATTCTATTTTCTCGAAGAGACTATACAGAATTGGCATGAATACCTCTTTAAAAGTGAATTCTCTACACCATGGCCTGGAGACTTCTTATTTGAGAGTTTTAAGAATCACAAACTTGATCTGATAATAGTTATAGTGCTGTTCATATTATTGATTTCAGATTAGGTGGATTGCGGCAGTGTGTGTTTTTTTGAAGGATTGGTCCATTTCATCTAAGCTGTCGACAGTATGTGAGTAGAGTTGTTCCCTTATGAGCCTTTATGTCTGCAGGGTCTGTAGTGATAGCCCCTGGTTCATTTCTGATATCGATTGTGCCTTCTCTGATTTTTCCTTTGCCAGTCTTTGAAGAGATTCTAAATCAATTTTATTAATCTTGTCTAAGAACAAGACTTTCCTTTCATTGATTTTCTCTGTTATTTTTGTTTCAATTTTATTGATTTCGTCCCTTATCTTTATTATTTCTTTCCTTCGGCTTGCTGTGGGCTTATTATGTTTTTATTTGACTGGCTTGAGGTAGGAGTTTGGAGAGTTGACTTAAAACTCTGTCTTTTCTAATGTAAACATTTAGTGCTATAAATTTCCCTCTCGGCACTGTTTTAGCTGTGTTCCACAAATTCTGAGGCATTGTATTTTCGTTTTCACTCATCAGTGTATTTTCTGATTGCACTTGAGACTTTCCTCTTTGATCCACAGATTATTTAAAAAGTGTGTTACTTAACTTAGTTCCCAAGTATGTGGAGTTTTCCTATTGTCTTTCTATTACTGATTTCCAGTTGATTTCACTGTGCTCTGAGAACACATTCTGTCTGCTTG